TCAGGAAGGCCAAGGTACAGCTGGAGCTGAACTGGACAAGGGACACAAATAATAAGGGCTTTTATAGCTACATCAAATCAGAAAATGAAGGTCAAAGAAAGTATACCCCCCTGATGAAAACTACTTGTAACAACAGATAAGGAGAAGGCTGAGGTACTCAATAACTTTTTTTTGCCTCAGTCTTCACTGGCAATCTCTCTAAATTTTAGAGATATGAATTTAATGAATGAAATATTCGGTGGATAAGGAATTAGCTGGATGGTTGCATCCAGAGACTAGTAGTCAACAACTCAACATCTGGATGGAGATCAGTGTTGAGTGGTGTCCCTCAGGAGTCCATATTGGGACCAGTATTGTTTAGTATCTTTATCAATGACACAAACAGCAGGACCAAGCACACCCTCAGCAAGTTTGCAGATGACACCATGTTTAGTGGTGTGCTTGACATGCCTGAGGGATGGGATGTCATCCAGAGGGACCTGGACAAGCTTGAGAAGTGGGCCCATGTGAACCTCATCAGGTTCAACAAGGTCAAGTGCAAGGTCCTGCACCTAGATTGTGGCAATCCCCAGTATTAATACAGGCTGGGGGATGAAGGGATTGAGAGCAGTCCTGATGAGGACTTGGGGGTACTGGTACTGGACATGATCCAACAATGTGTGCTCACAGACCAGGAAGCCAACCGTGTCCTGGGCTGCATCAAAAGAAGTGTGACCAGCAGGCCCTGCCCCTCTACTCCGCTCTTGTGAGACCCCTCTGGAGTACTGTGTCCAGCTTTGACATCCTCAGTAAAGACATGGAGCTGTTGAAGTGGGTCTGGAGGAGGGCCACAAAGACGATCAGAGGGCTGAAACACCTCTCCTACAAGAAAAGGCTGAGAGAGGTGGGACTGTTCAGCCTGGAGAAGAGAAGGCTCCAGGGAGACCTTATTGTGGCCTTTCAATACTTAAAGGGGGCTGATGAGAAAGGTGGGGACAGACTTTGTAATAGAGCCTGTAGTGATAGGACAAGGGGTAATGGTTTAAACTAAAAGCGGGTAGATTCAGACTAGATAAGGAAGAAATCTTTTACCATGAAGGTTGCCCAGAAAGGTGGTAGGTGCCCTATCCCTGGAAACATTCAAGGTCAGGTTGGATGGGGCTCCGAGCAGCCTGACCTAGTTGAAGATGTCCCCACTCATTGCAGCGGCATTGGACTAGATGACCTTTAAACATTCCTTCCAGCCCAAACCATTCTATGATTAAATATATAGTTTTATACTGAAGTTACTGAAATACACTAAAATACTCAAGTCAAACCCAGCTGTTTACAAGTTATTACGTAGCAGTATCTTTTCCAGCACCTTCCCAAGATGATGTGAGTCTACAGTTGGATAATGCTAAGGAAGAAACTGTTACATTGCCTTAAAGCTAATTATTAGCACTTACCCTGTACAACCCATGATTTCCGGTCCATCAAAGGAAAAGGGATCAGAATCATCTGGCTCTGACCTCATTCTATACGTCTTTGTCAACACTTCATTTGTGAAGTAGTCATTTGGTTCAAAATGAAATTCTAATGTGAAACTCTTAAAAAGAATTGCAGAGCAACAACTTTAGCATTTCAGCAACACATATATTTAACTTTTAAGTACGTAAAAATTCAACCCCAAAAATACATGTGCAATGGAACATATCCATCTCTGCCAATATGGAAACCGTGCATACACGTAACTTATTCTGGATTTTGCTGCCCAAGTTGTACAATTAATCTTCAAATGTTTTCATTTACCATGTTAATCTTGTGCTTATTAGTTAATATACTGCTTGCAGGTTTCACACAAGATCTCCCAGAGTACAGCTTTCCTAGTGCTAACATACAGAGGTAAGTTCTAAATTTAAAATAAAAACTTAGCAAAGTATCTGGTTTCTGACAAGGAAATTATATCCAATTATAACAGTTACACAACAAGTACCTGAAGGTATCAAAATTTAAAGGTGAAACTTAGTCATCAGATACTAAGGCCAAGTTATTAACTCATCAGAATTTGAAGTTATTTGAAGTTAAATTAAGTATAAATTAATTCATATCATACTGAACGACTATTACTGGTCCTTGTACTGTTTTTCAGAAGACAAGAAACAGCTGCATATTTCTCATGATTGCCATAAGACAATTGGCTATCGCAGACCACACTAATATACAAATAAAAGTCTTAAGATAGCACAAAAGTAATCTTGTTTAATAAGTTAAACTAACCATAGGCTGTCCAACTTCTGAAAATTTCACTTTAATATCTTTTAAGTGTTTCAGGATAGGTTCATCATGTTCCTGTAAAGAAAACAGTTTATTAAATTTTCATAACATTATACTGTACACAGATTTAAGACCCTGCAGAGATAAAAAGACATTTAGAATGAGTTTTACATAGATCAAGAACCTTGTTATAGCACTGAAACATTTTCACAAATGTGACCAGCAGATGGCAACAATGGCCGTACAGAGTTTCCACCACAGCACACAACATAAACCCACACAAACATCAAGTGTATTAAGTATTGCTAAAAACTGTACATCTCATACACTCGCTCCTACAAGTACAGAAAATGCATTAGTAAGGTAAAGTAAGTTCAACAAATAACATAGAATGTATTTCAGACTGCTCTGCGCTCTCCGTTGAATGAAGTATCAGAGATGACACTTGAGGTTGGGGGTTTTTTCCCATTTTTGCTCTCCAACAGACACATCAAGTAATGTACTGTTTCTACTCCTTTCTTAAAGACACTTGGATTAACTACTAACACAACGTTAAGTCTGCACCACCCACCACCTACCTGAACCATGTCACTGAGCAAGTCCACATTCTTGAATACTGTCAGCCAAAACTCAGGAATTCCTTTAGGGTCTTCTTTTTCTTCATCTTTTTTTTCCTCTTCAAGCTTGGCTTTCTCTTTCATTTCCTCCTTGATAAAATAAAAATGTTAGTTTTTCTTAATCTTAAGAATGTCCACAAGGTTCATTAACAGTTTTATGTTGATACCAGTACAGATTTAATACTTAAAGCATGCACATGAAATTTATCATTAAGAATTATCATTATTGTAAGTTATCATTGTGCATCCAATTTTTCTTTTAAAGTTTAGTTACTGTATTGAATGTTGTTTCCTGCTAAAGCCCGAGATACTGATGAGAACCAATTAATATACTCACTGAAATTTCTTCTTCAACATCTGCTTTCCATTCACATTCTTCCTCTGTAGGTTCATAAATTGCATTGATGATTTCACTTCGCTGGAAGAACACACCAAGAATATTTTTGTATTTCCTAGTCATTGCAACCAGCAATGCCCTGACCAACAAATTCCTAATCCTAACTTTACACAATTAGTGAATACACTAACTATTTATCAAAACTTTTTCTTCTGGCCCTAGAAGATGACTCAGTACTTACGACCTTTTCAACACACTAAAATAAGCACCAAAGTTCCAGACAAGTTACCGTACTGACATCTTCAATTAAGAAGATGAGGACTGGTAGATTGAAGTGATTTTGGTAACCACGGAACAGTCTGAACCTTCCTCCCCTTTAATCTTAGCTGATATTCACATGGACAGTAAAATGGTATCAATTTAATTGAATGGGCACATATGATATTCACATGGACAGTAAAATGGTATCAATCTAATTGAATGGGCACGTACGAGACCAAAGTAATTCAGAACACGCAAAAGCTTTCAGTTTATATTCCCTTGTGTTTTAGCTAAAGCTTTAAGTACAAATCAGATTAGCATTACAATACCTTGTCAAATAAGGGCTGATAGAGAGCAGCATACTTTCTTTCCAGCTCATGAACTTCCTCATAGAACTTCGCTTCTATCTGTGCACACTGAACTTGAAGGTTCTTGAGAGCATTCACACGTCTTTTAACAACTTTAGGCAAGCTGAAAAATTCAGTGACAGAACTGTTACTAACACTGCATTCTAAGTACATACTGACCCCTCCTTAACCAGTCCCCTTGCAAGTTAACCAACTTGCATCAAAACAGATTTTACACTATTTTGAGCTTTAGAAAGCTGTACAAATCAAAACTATGATCCATGTGGATTGAAACTGTTAGCACAGGCTCTTAAACTGAGGCTCAACCTCAGCAGGAACAAGAGTATTCCAAACACCTATGTACATCATGAGCAATAAAACTTCATACTAAAACCAGATTTGAGTGTAATTAAGAAAGGTCTTATCAGTAATTGACTTAGTTTTATGAAAAAGTTCAAGACAATTGAGTTATTCTTCACCAAGGAAGTTAATCTTCAAAATTCACATTTTTGTTTCACTCAGGAAAGCAGCTGGTACTACTGTCTTGTAACATGTTAGCTGTCACTCCCAAAGGGAGCCAGAACTGTTTTGCTAAATAAGCCACTGTATTCAACATGTGTGAAAAGAAAACAATTAATGCAATCTTCATTGTAAATACTTGTCAGCTACAACTCTAATACTAGTTTCAGTTCAGTAAAATAGGCTAACATAGACTTACTGTTAGGACAAAGTTACCTACATCAAGGCTACTGGTGAGACTCATGGGGTAGATTGCTGACAGCCTCCATCGCCTGTGAGGTAGGCCAAACCCCAGCATACGGTTCCAGAAGATTACTATGTTAACTTTCAGTATTTATTTTATTGAAGCAGTTGTGCCACATTATTTAGAACACAGTAGTAAACAACTGCTTTTAATTGTTAGGACCAGCTTCAGGTTAGAGGAAGTAACCAAGAACATATTAGCTTAGTTAAACATGAAGGTTCGTATTAATTACTAAAGCTATCTTACCTCTATTAGGTAGGACAAGCACACGTTCCAACATCCTTGTTCACTTTATATGCAGAACCCTTCTCCCTGACAGCTTTATACTCAACATGAATATACTATTTCTGGTTACTCAGATAATATGCATATCACCATCAAATCAAGATTTCCCTTAACCTTCCAATTTGGGCAAAAGTACATCTGCTACACAAACTACTGAAAGCACTTAAGTTAGTCATGTATGCTCATAAAGGGTTGATAATACTCTTGTTACTCTGACATTTTTCCAGAAGTTAGTCAAGTTAATAATTTGCTGTAATTTTATCTTCAAGTATAATATCAGAACTAACAGCAACTTAAGTAGCAAGTCCAGTTAGTTCAAGAAGAAAAGTGTTAAGGAAGAAAATTAATATGACCACACAGATAAGTCATATAACAATCGCCCACTTAACGCCACACACATATCTAGACTAAGAGGTCCTAGCAATTGCATATAAAGCACTATGAAATTTCTAAGAGGTAGTGCCGTACATGCAGCACATCCAACTCCAATATATCAGAGTAAAGATTTCCTTTCTTAGGGAATCTACAGTCTTTTGCACATGTCAAAGCTACATTTCATTACAGTCCACGGCAACTAGTTCAAATTTCACAATTTGTACATCCACTACCTTTATAAACTCTGTACTTTTAAAAAAGGTAATTTCATGAAAGACACAGCTCAAAGTAAATCCAAAATGAAGAAGTAGACCAAGAAATCTGAACTGGATTGCACACGTACAGTAATGGCAAGTAAAACCTGTTGTTTTGAATACAAGCCACTAGCAAATATTATGATCACACAAGAATACAACCTCCTGCAAGCAGCTGAGGGCAATTCTACTCTATGAAAGTATGTATGAAACTACTCTATGAGGCCAAGCACAGGTGAAGAGGTAAGTTACTGGATAGCTGCTAAGCAATTAGCAGATTCTAAGCCTGAGCAGACAGATGTTTTCCTGGAACCTGTTTAGTTTCCTACCAGTTTATGCATCTAGTTCCTTAACAGCCCACATAACAGGCTTTTAGGATCCCAGACTCCTGATGACTTGTGCCATCTCATCGTCTAGACTCTCTAGATAAATAAGCTCAAAATGATACTTGGGAAGACATCTAAGAGGCACCTGTAAAGCATGGTTAAGTCAGCATGCATATGTTGAGAAACTGCAGACTCAAGTTACACACACTTCCCAGTTATTTTCATATTACAAGTTAGGTAAGCATTTGGTACACTGGCAAAGTTGCAATGCTTCTGTGACAGAGAATGCACTACTGTACTTGGAATTGATGAAGAAATGGTACAGTATCTTAGAGAGCAGATGACTAGAAGGATATCATGTAAATCAACTTTGGTCACTTAAATGAAGAACTTGAAAGATTAGTGGGGTTAATTAACATCTGTTGAAAAACAGAAGAAAAATATTGGGCATAGAAAGCCTGTAGCATACAGCTATCTAGACGAAAAAGAACCTGGGTACCCTTTGACTTCATGCTCTTTCTTGGGCCAGTATTTATTAGGAGACAGTATTAGTTAAATGGGCTTTTTTCCCATGCTATCATCTAACAGGAAAGTGGTATGAGTAGGAGTAGCAGCAGCAATGCCTGTTACTCAGCAGCTGCTGCAGTCCAAGTCAATAGCAATGTAGAACCCTATTGCAGCAAGACAGCTGTATGCTTTACAAGTCCTGTGGATGTGGTGAAATGTTCATATACAAGCAGAAATTACGTAAGAGGGACACAAAATTCTGTTAATACAGTTCAAGTAAAGAAAATTTTAGCACAAGGTTGTTTCAAGTTTTGCTGCAGAAGGAGACCACACCAAGTAACGATACAACATTCTCAATTAGTTCCTGGTTACACTCTAACCAAAAAATGACTATTAGAGACACTAGGTCTTCAAGTATTTGTCCACACCTAAGATAACTGATATTTCATGATTAAGGCAAAGCTACAAAAGACATTCCAAGTAGCAGGTAAGTATCTTTCTAAAGTGTGCCATGCTGCAACTGCAGGGGACAGGGTTAGCCACTGTAAATATTTTAGCATTCTTTTCATAAAAGCCCAAATGAAAACTCTTCAATTCTGAGATGCACTACAGACAGACTATACTAGTTTTCCTGCTATCTGGGCAGCCATAAACTACTGTGCTATTAATGTTACAGACAATACTATTCAGAAAACAAAAGAACCATTTATACAACTCTGCTCATACTGAACACATGCTGTACCTTTCTATATATCCTGTAGATGTTCCTACCAGGCCATCAAGTCTTTCCTGAAGGGCTGCAAGAATCTGAGGATTTTGCATCATCTGCACAGTCAACTGCCGAGCTAAATTAAAAAAGAAAATTATGTAAGTGCAAAGTGCATCTTTTAGACTAATTTTGAAAGAAATGTTACTTAAATACTACAAAAGAGCAGTAAGTTTACTACATATACACTTGTAAAAAGAAACATTGGCAAAGAAGTATTTCAAACACCTCTCCATTTTGGAAGCATGGACCAAATCCATCCTGTTCTGAATATGGAAACAGCACCTGCATTAAAACGGCCACTATTCAGCAAGCTGAGCTTTTTTGTTAAAAGGAGAAGTTTTATATGATGCCCCTAAAAGCATCAGTTTCGCCTTGACTGCTTTTGAGTTCATTAAGGAAAGGCAAGGTAGAAGAATTTGTGCTTTTACTTTAAGAAGGGAATCAGAACTGGACCCAAACCATTCTATGAATGGGGATTTTAATTCCATTTTAGGTAAATAGAAAGAAACAGTTTCAGACTTAGATTTATAAAGCAGTTTTAAATCCATGTTTACCTTATTTTTCCTGCAAAAGAATAAATTATTAATTAGGATAGTCTGACACGTTATTGAATACAGAATATCAGTACTAGGTCCTTGACATGTATCATCTACAGCATGTTTAGAAAGCACTTTGTCCAAATGTGAAACCAGTTTCAAAATACAAGGTAGAAGTACATTTAAAAAACAAATTCCTAGCCTAAGTGTTCTCATTATCCATATCAACATCAACCCTTTTGCTTTGCTCAAAATCTGTGCCCCAACCTACAGAAATTAATTTCAAAACTTCATATTTTTTAAATAAGAATTTATAATCAGTTTTTATCATGATGATTTGCCTCCTTCCTCCATCCTCAACATCTACAGATAGGCAAATTTTGCATTCCTTATAAGATACGAGGTTTATACAGCATTCTTCCAATACCTTCAAATTAGAGTGAAGCTTTTTAATCCTTCCTGACACACAAAGCTTCTGGAAAGAGCACATGATTTTCCACTTCTATGTCCCTCACTACATTAACCACACGTGAATATTCTCTTCTACTTTTACATCCTAGCACTGAAATTACATGCTGAAAAGTTATGTTTTAAGCAACATCCAAAAAAGCAGTCTTGTTTCTCCATAATGATTGCAATCAGTTTACATTTTAGCAGTACAAGCTGTAATGACTTCTTAAAAGTGCTTCCTCACATTAGTCAACACAACTACTCACCTAGGTATCTAGTTTTCTCTGGTCGTCTTATTCATTAGTCTTTCCTATACACTTGGAAACCTACCCAGTTGTGCCATTTGAGTATGTTACCAGTTATACTTTAATACAAAATCAGTATACACATGGTATGCCAATGCCAACAGCCACATCCCCTCAAATTGAAATCTGACCACATATACTGTTTTGCAAGCTCTTGGATCCATGAACATTTTTTCTTCAAAGAGTTTTTTCTAAAAGCACAAGTGCTTTACTTAGTATCCACAGAAGAACCTTTGACACAATTAAAAATGGAATTATCTAGATTTTTAAAAAGTAAAGCAGTAAAACCTAAGGAAAAATTGTGCATGAAAAAAATGCTAGAACACTAGACAAGCAAGAATTACGGATGCAAAAGAACTGCTTAACACTGTGTCAAGTTTCCCTACTACTAAAACATGTTTCTGATTTATAAAATCCAATTTCCCTCCAAGATTTCTACAGTATGATTTCCCCTCAGATCCTCATCTACAATAGCTGGTATTAATCACTGAAAATACACATTATTCATCTGTGGGTTCTTTTGGGATACCTGAATACTTACCATTTAATTGTTGTAAGCTGTTCTTCAACTGACCAGTGTGTTCCCCAGAATTTTGCAATCCACTTTTGAAAACACTTTTTTCAATAAATATAGCAGAGTCTCTAACATCATCTTGAGCAAAATTATCCTACTTTTCTTTAGCATTATTATTCTGTTCAAGCAATCACATAATGTGGCACTATCAGCAGTAGTAAATAATTTTATTGCAGGGATTATTAGTTCTCTTTTGGCTACTTGCTCTTCAGATTTGTCTGTGCCTCCAGTCTTTAACTACAAAGCATGAGTAAGACACTTCAGCACAGACAAAACAACCATTCTGGTACATTTTCAGGTTTTTTGTTGAGGGGAAAAAAGGATTTATTGATTTTAAGAGTGGTTACACTAAGCATGATTTTTGTTCTGTTCACAAACAACTCAGCAGCAAACTACTAAGCAACTGATCAAAACAGACACACACACACACCTGATTTTTCTCTACCCAAAGCTTCACATTTTAAAATAAGCTTTTAACTGTTTAGTTTTGAAAGAGTAGTCACATACCCACAATCCCTCCTTTTTCAATTATACATCCTTACAGGTGGCCAGCACTGCCTGAACTAGTAATAACCATGACCAAAATGAGGGACTACAGCTAATAAAAAAATCACACAACTAAAAAAAGCCCTTCCTTTAGAATTTAAACAGGTGTGACTCAGTAGTTAATGTTTTACCATTTCCTATCATTTTAAGCAGTAGAATCATAGAATGGTTTGGGTTGG